AGTTCCATGTTTCAGTTCCTAATGGCCCTTAATATAAGGGAGACAGAGTCAATGAAGATACAATGGGCCAAATAACCTCCTTCTGCACAATAATGATTCCGTGATTCTGTGTATTCTTAACATGCTTCCACGCTTGGGGAATGAAATACTGTTTTTAAATGCATTTCATTATCATGTAAAGATGAAAACGGGTCCTGTAAAAACATTTTTAAAAACTCAAGCTTACACACATTCATCTTCATACAGGATGTCCAGACAGTTTCATATTCCAGTTCCTTACAGTTTTTAAAGATAAATATGCATTCTTGACGCTTCTCAGTTGTTGTTACTTTGTTGGATCCTCAATCACCCTGAGAAGATGGTAGCCAACCTTCTCCTTTAACCAAATTATTCTGGCACACCAAAGGGCAGTCAAGCCTTAACCAGACTGGTGTGGGATCGGAGTCACATGTAGGCTGAAGCAGATAAGGATGGTAGGATATCTTCCCTAAAGAATATTAGTGAACTGGTTTGGTTTTTATAATAATCCAAAAATGTTGTTGTCACTTTTGCTGATAACTATTTTGAGAGTATATCGGTTAGTTTGTTAAGAGAATGTGTTGCATAATGTAAGTGAAATTATTTGAAGATATGCTTAAAGAAATAGTGATGTAATGCAGAAAGTAGCACAATATCACATGCAGGAGATATCTTAGTCAGTCAGTATACTAACAACATGAAGAAGCCTCCATTAAAATTCTATGCCCAACTACTGTGACTGCCCTTCAGCTTTGTTTGCGTTTGCCAAGAATATGATATACAACAATGCTAGCTTTCAATTCACTGACTTTTTTAAAACTAGAATTCAGAGTTTCAAACTGCCATGATTTGAACAGATCGCTTCTAAGTTGTTAATCTGGCCGTCTAGAATGCTAGTCCAGTAACATAAGCACATACTAACCATACCCTGATATGCTAGAACAATAAGTTTACTATCTGGGCTGGTGAACTAAATTTAGGAACAGGAGTGGATTATTTAGCATCTCAACCATTAAAAGGTCATTGCCTGTATGTATTTTCACGGATTCATCAGTTGAACACTGCTTGTGCTGAAAAGTGAATATTATAATATAATGGGAGCAGCCCTATGGCTCAGTAGGACTATGGCGACTTTAATTCATTCACGTTATTTATGTTGGCTGCTGCTAACAAATCCAGAGAGATCATAATAACAGTGCAGTGGTTATGTCTGATTTTTCCCCATGTATCAGTTATTACAATGGATCGTTATTACAGACTAGTTTTCTCAGTGAGTAAGCTTTCAGAGCAAAGGGAAATGCAAATGAACTTTTGTTAACTGCTTTTTTCTTTTCTGTATCTCATATTAATAGATTGCATATTGATGGAGACATCACCGGCAGAGAGTTCTGAAGTATTTGAGACGTTATCATTCCCTGTGAAAAGGTAATATTTATACATTTGCTTTCTCAAACTTTATTTCTTCATTTTTCTTCCCTCCTGTAGATGTTGCCTCATTGATAAACTGTTTGCCTTAATTCAAGGTAATATTGGGTAGTTTGAAGCTGAAGATATAACTTCCTACAATATCTTCCCAAAGAAAAACCCATGACTGGTTGTCATTGGGACTGGAGCTCAGGTTAAAACTTATCAAAAGCAGGGTTCATGTTTTAACATCTGAAAAAACAGCCAAAATCTGCAGTTTGACAGTCAAATAGTTGCCCCTAGATGTTCAGCAGGGAGATATCTTGAACTATTACAAGCGCCATAGTCACCCTTGTTTTTGTATAGTGTTGTTATCTATGTGTCATGCATATCTTGCAGCTTTGCCCTATCCATCACCCTTCTCTCCAACAGAGACAGAGGTTCACATTAATGCTACAGGATGCCAGTTTCCCAGTCTTGATGTGTTCAGGCAGTATAGTAATAGAATTTAGAGCATTGCCTGTGACAAGTTAGTCAATTGCTTTATAAAAGAGTTGTTGTATATTTAGTTCTACCATGATAGATAGGCTTTCTCTGGTGTCTATTGTGTCCACATTGACATTGCTCTACCAGAGTGCAATTCAAGATCGGTGCTTCATTCATCTCACCAAATGTTTAATGCAGACAATAATGACCTCTTCTGCCATTGTATCCAGTGGAATCATTTTCTTTGAGGATGGATCTGTTGCCTTTTCTAATCTCCTCGTACATATTGCTATTCATTCCGTATGTCCAACAACATCTGGTAATTCTAGTAGAATTGCAACTACTAGTCATTGGTGCACTGCCTAGCAATCTGTTGGACTTTATTTCAACAAGTTCTTAGTTACATCACCTGAATCTCACTTGAAATGAGCGAACGCAGATAGCTTGGCTTTAATAATGGGAATGTCACTGACATTAACCTTGAATCTGCCAGCATTTTTCTGTTCTTGTTTCCCATTTGTTAAGGGTGCAGTATTGTATATAGAGTCTCAAACTGGTTCCATTTCACTTCCGCAATCTGTCTGGGAACACCTATGCGACTGAGCTATGGAACGTTGGTTTTGTCTGGGTGACTAGTACAGCTGGTATTGACATCAGGATGGCATTTCTGCTTCATTTGAAAACCCGTCAAACGGAGATTTCTCACGTGAAAACAGATCAGGGAGCAATCTGTGGTGAGTGCATGTGTTCGGAATGATATTCAGAGAATCAAGTTTAGTAACGATCTGATTTAATTGGTGTCAGAGCCCTGTTTTTGGATGACACCAGGACACTTCGTAAAAACCAAAGGGTATAGAAATAGGAGAAGACCATTTGGCCCCTCAAGCCTGCTCCACCATTCAGCCAGATCATGGCCGGTCCTTCCCAAGCCTCAGCTCCTCTTTTGTGCCAGCTTAACATAGCCATCAACTCCTCAATATTTCAAAAATCCATTTACCTCCTCTTTAAATATTGCCCAGCGATCTAGCTACCACAATTCTCTGTGGTATAGCATTCCAGATGTTCGCTATTCTATGAGAGAGGAAATTCCTTTGCATCTCAGTTTTAAATCAGTGTTACTTTATTCTGTAAATTTTTATGGCTTGGTTTGTTCTATAAAAAGGATGCTAATTGCACAAAATTCATCATGGCAGCAAAGCTCATTTAGGTCTCTGTCCATTCTTATTTATTTTTTCCCAGGCCTTCATCTTTGTTGCAGGAGGTTCGTGCCCCATCGTCTGTTCCTACTCTTAAATCTGAAATCCCCCGTAGCTACAGATGTTCTGTCCTGAATCCAAAATGTCAACTCTGATTTCTCTCCGCGGATGCCGCCAGTCCTGCTGACTTTTTCCAGCAATTTCTGGTTTTGTTTCTGCCCTAGGGATTCTATTATTTTCAGCATCAAGCTCCTCATAGAACCTCTGAAGCCCAGTTTTGGAGCAAAGGTATTCATGAGGTTAACTGTCCCAGTTTGAGTTGAGAGGCAAAAGGAGAGAACATATTCTGAACTGCTCATGGGGGATTCCATCATTGACAGTTGCAAGTTCCTTACAGCAAAGCTTCACTCATGCATTTCCTTTTCCCGTTGCAAATAAACATGCAATGTTTCTCTTTCAGTGATTTACTCACAGCAAGCCTGGTCTCTTGGAGGGAAGCTAAATTATGTTCAGCCTATCAAGTTTCATAAACAATACACCAAGTTTATGCATATCACTGACCGGTTGTAAGTCACCTGCCAGTCCTGTACTTATGGTCCTGATGTTCTACCTTGCCTTTCAAAGAGTCTTTTCCCTTTTCTCTTTTCATTTGTTTTGTTGTTTTACTGGTATCATGGGTTCTGTCAATTGTTGACAGGCAATCTAAGCTGCAATCATTCATTGAAGTGATGTGCCAACACCTTCCTGGTGAAAGATTTGTAACATGAGGGGTCAGTGCGATATATTGTCTCCTCCAAACCTCAGAGACATCCCATAGCCTGTCTTCTACACCATTCAAGTTGGGCATATTTCTTGTAACTGCTATCTCCTATGTTGTGTTAAAGATCAGCAGGAAAACTGCAATGTCCTCTGGAGACATGAAGCCGCCCGAAGCTCAAGATTCCCCTTACAACCTGTACAGTTGAGTCCAAAGAATGCAGAGCATAATATTTGGCACTCAATTGTAAGAGTTGCTGGAGAATTTGCCATCAGTCCACTTTCAACTCTACTCCTGATTTTTTGGCCTTAAATTGTAACTCTCCTGAGATCTCTGCAAGATAACATTCATGAAAACTATCATTTATCTTGCAAAATTGTAACATCCAGTGTACGGAAGCTTAAAGAATAACATTTAAGCTTCTGTACACTGGACATTACAATTTTGAAAAATAAATGATAGTTTTCATGAATGTTATTTTGTAATTAAAAGTTTTTGGTAAAATTTATCAAAACAAGAAACTTGTTCAGAGATCTCTACAAGGCAGTGGAGCTATTCATCCTTAGCTGGCTGCTTGGTTCAGGAGTGCCAGGTCATGTCCACATGCTAGTGGGCCTACACAGCATGTCTAAGGGCCAGACCTCCCCTTGGTACCTCTGAATCTTTACCTGAGGCCATGTGGGACCCAATTTCCACGTGTCACCACAAAGAGACACAGTTAAGGACTTGCCCTATCAAAACTTATACACTTGATGCTGAAGTTTGCATTACTGTTAGCCCACTGTGTGGGCTAAAAATGAGAAGCAAACTGGCACATAAAAGCAGAATGCATGTTAACTCTCTGCACCCACATACTACACACATCATACACTGCTGGATACATGAATATATTATGAAAACAGAAATATAGCATAGTCATAAACTGCATGCTATCCAGTTAGTAAATTGAGGAATCCATTTATGTTATTTGTTACTGAGAGGTCAGGTGTTTGCCAAGTTCCTTTGTTCTATGAAGCATTAATACTGTCTGTGAAAAGTTCTTGCATAATTTCACTAATAATTGGGAAGAGTGGTTTGAGTTTTAAAAATTATAATCACTGTGGATATGTGGCCAATGTATTAAATTATGCAAATTGAACCTGTTGTGCAAATGTAAATTGGATTAATTAGCAAATAGTTTTTCCCAAGTACCTAAAAATCATAAATGGAATTGTTATTCATTGTGGAGATTGTACCTGCAGTGCTAAATTGGAGAACTTATTTCAAAGCATGTTAATTAGTTATAATTTGTAGTTATATAAAGATATTATTGTGCCACTGTACCAGAAGCAAGAGCTTTAAGCTTTTTTTTGGTAACTTTCAAAGATTTTTTTTCTTAACTGAAAGGCTTGTTAAAGAACTAAGTACCATAATATTGAATTATTCCATGTAATGGAGAGCTTTATGTATGTTACGTTGACTACACAACTGCTTTGGGCTGGTACACCTTAACAGCACACTTCATCTCTTTGCTTTCCTAACTTCAATACTCCATGGCATTAATTCTAAAGATCAAATTAAATCTGAGATAATAGGAACTGCCGATGCTGGAGAATCTGAGTAACAAGGTGTAGAGCTGGATGAACACAGCAGGCCAAGCAGCATCAGAGAAGCAGGAAAGCTGACGTTTCGGGTCTAGACCCTTCTTCGGAAAAATTAAATTAAATCTGAGATTTTTTATATTTCTATTTATCATTGCAGCCTCAAAAACACCTTGAGCCAGATATCAAGTAAATCTTTGTCTACTCTGTTTGAAAAATAGGCTTTAAGCCTCCACTCAGAGGGGCTCCCAAACTGCACAAGAGTAAATAGTTTTCTGTTTCAAATGCCAATCGATTCATGGAAGTCCCTGACAGAGATAGGAATTTTCCCATTCAGAGTAAGGAAAAGGAAATAGGTTGTATAAAAGGCTGCTGTTACAATAATGTCCATTTCGCAATGTTGCAGTTATTTGCAACAAGTTTCCACAACCATCCTCACTTGCCCCCCGCCCCCCAACAAAATCAGTTTTGAGGGAAGAGTTCTTCCAAGAATTCAATCATAAATATACACTTAAAAGCAATGATCTCTCCCTTCCTTCTAATGCCATCATTGTTACTTTATGTGGGATTGGAAGTTGACTTTGTATTCGTGGCTCTGCCTTCCTTACAAAGTGGTTTGTGACAACAGTTGATCAGGAGGTCAAAGAAGCATTCACTTCACCTACCTAAGTTACATTTGAATCACCATCTTAGCGATGAAAGGTACAGTGTTGTGGCCCACTGCAATGTGTACATTGTACAATTTATAGTCTGCTTTGGGCTTGATTGTACTCTACAATAAAGTCATCTTTTTCCTTTGTTAGTGAAATATAAGTGGCTACATTTTTTCCTTGATTTGTGCGTAGAGTGACATTTTTTGGCTGGATTCTTAACATAACCAGCAAATATCAGAAGAGATGTATGCAATTTTACCATTGATGAGATGCTAGTATGTGATGCATTTGAGCAGTGTGAATTAATCCTTCAGTTTGTACACAATGATAAGTGGACAGAATACTTTATTCTCGTATCATAGACTTATAAAGAGAGAGCTTATACACTTCACCATCACATGGAGGTGGAATAGTCAGTGGAATGAAAAAGGTAAAGGAGAGAACAAAGGCAGTAGAAAAATTATAAGCAGAACTAAAGGGTCGCAAAAGAATGCAAAAGAACAGATAAATCAGAGAGGAACTGACAATAACAGAAATAGCTTGGAAGTTGTGAGTAGCACAGGGAGAGTGGAAGAGGCAACACAAGGAGACATCAGATGGTGAGGTAGGAAGAGAGATAGAACAACATTGATTGCAGACAAGGGGATAAGGTGAAGTATTAAAAAGGTGTGGATGAAAGAGAGAGAGGAGGGCAGTGAGAAGAGACTGTTCAGACAAAATAGGAAAGTTAGAATAATGAAGAAAAGTGCAGGTGAGGGGGAGAATTTAAAATGAAATATGTTGCAAAATGAAGAGTTTTGGATGTTGTTGAAATGCACCTGCAAGGTATCTTGTACAATTATCAATACTCAATTGGAAATACATCATGGATGTGAAGATACCAGGAAATAAAGTCAATTCTCTAAATCACATACTTTTTACCTGATGCTATTCAAACATCTCTTCTCGTTCTGCTGTCTTTAGTCTTAGAGGAGAGACTGGATATGTTTTCCTTGGAGCAAAGGTGGCTGAGAGGTGATCTGACTAAGAGGTATAGACAGAGTAGATTGTGGTAAACATATCTGAGATTGGATAGCATACGTTTAAGGTGTGGAGTAAGTGGTTTAGAGGAAATCTGAGGAAAAATAAAATCAACCAGAGCGTGGTAAAAAAAATGGAACACACTGCCTGAGAGGGTGGTGGAGGCAGATAATCTCGCAACATTTAAGAAGCATCTGGGTGAGCACATAAGATGTCAGGGCATAGTTGACAATGCAGGTAAATGGTAGTTTGTTGTTTGTTGGTCAGCATAGTCCTGGTGGGCCAAAGGGCCTGTTTCTCTGCTGTAAGACTCTGTGACTTGTGCTGTGCATCTCCAAATGGCGAGCATAATATAAATTCTGATTTTCTTTTGCAAGAGCTTCCGCTTCGTCCCCTTACAATAGGAGTCCCATTGTTCTTACCCTCCATCTCAGCAGCCACTGTATTAAAAGCCATTCTCTGCCATTTCTGTAACTTTCCATATAATGCCATCACCAAAGACATCTTGTCTTTCCCTCAGCATTCTGAAGGAACCATTTCCTCCTCAAAACTCTGGTCCATTCCTCAATCATGCCTAGAATTCCCTCATTGTTCCACACAAACTCTCCATTCAACTGCTGGAGATGCATTGCCTGTCCTTTTACCTCCTTCCTGTTTGCTGTCCATTTCCCCAAATATTCCTTCCCACTGAAACAACTGTTTAAGCATGCTTCTTTCAATTTGGTATAAGGTAAAAATGTAAAGTCACTCACTGCCTCACTAGACTGGTGATGAGCTTAACCTGAGGATCACGCTGCCTCAGGCAAGGGGTAAGGTTCCAGTTTCAAATGGTAACCTTCATTCCAGTTTGTTTCCTTTTCTTTGTAGGTTTCAGTTTTCCTCTTGACTTTTGCTTTTGGCCACTTATTATTCTCCTCTAGACACACCCCATGTTCACTTAGAGATAATAAGAACTGCCAATGCTGGAGTCTGAGATAACAAGGGGTGGAGCTGGAGGAACACAGCAGGCCAGGCAGCATCAGAGGAATAGGAAAGTTGACATTTCAGGTCGAGACACTTCTTCAGAAATTTTCTGAAATGTCAACTTTCCTGCTTCTCCGATGCTGCCTGGCCTGCTGTGTTCCACCAGTTCCACGCTGTATTCTTTATGTTTATTCACTTGTCCTGTCACTGCTTACTTTAACTTTGTATCACAAACTCCATTGTCATTTAATCTCTCCTGTCTTTCATATTATCATGGACTGCCTCCTTTTGTTCTTCTTTCTCCTCCTTCCTTTCACCTACTTAGTGAAAACCTATTTCTAATTTTGCCCAATTCTGAGAAAATATCATCAGCCTGAAGCGTTAACTCTTTCTTTCTCCAAATGTGCCTGACCTGCTGAGTATTCCCAGCAATTTTCTGTTTTACTTACCATAAAAACATCATTTATACTCACAAACTAAATCAGTATGAAGCCAAGAGTGTTGTAACATTTTTTTGTGATTTGGAAACCCTTTCACTCTGTCCATGCCACTTTCTAATCCAAGAGACTTGGCTTCACATTCACATCAAACTGCTTTTGCTGAAGTGTAAAGCTATAAACATTTTGAACATTTCCTACACTAGAGGTTTTAAAAATCTCATAGATAGCCATGTTGCTGCTTTACAGCATAAAAAAAAACAAGACCTGCTGTGGGTCCTTTACAGCATGTTTGATCTGTGATGGAATAGGTTGGACATTAAATCTAAATTGCCTGGCTGTTTGTGGTAGAGATTTAAATGTGGAGGGGAAAGGAAAGGTTGTAATTTAGGATGATTATCCAAACTCTCTGTGGGAAGGGAAGAACATTAATGGGATAAATCACTCACAATTGATCTAGGTCAGGGTAATTGTGACCTTGGAAGATAGTAACATAAAAAATGCCCCTGAAGTGAACCTCCTGTTTTTCACTTCCATTCAAACCAATGGAATGAAAATGTGGAGAGATATTCCCATAATTTTTATGTTACTCTGTCACCAAAGTCAAAATTAGGCCAGATGAATAAGTTGGTTTATCAAGTAATTTTCTGACTTTGAGTTCTGTGCTGTAATTTTCTTTGTTCTTTTTAGTTGTGAAAGGCAGCATGTCGGTGCAGGCTTGGAGGGCCAAAGACCTTGTTCCTGTGCTGTAATTTTCTTTGTTCTTGGCAGGAGTCTCTTATCCAAAACTACAAGCTGGAAATTGGACACACATTTCCAACTGCAAACCCAAACAGTACGTCTTGCGGAGTTGTCTAATGCCCTACATGTCATTCACCTTGCATGGTGAATCAGCTCCATAGATATATGACAACTTAATGCTGTTCACATTTAAAGCTGGGCAGTTTTTTTTTAAGTAGCCAAAATTGCACATTTCAATCCTCATTGACACCTGTGCAGCATTGTCTATCATTCACACATCTCAACTGCTTCACAAAAGCCACCAACTACCACTAAAGTTCTTTAGTTAGCAACCCCCATTTTACTAGATTCCTCATGAAAGTTTCAGGGCAATCAGACTGTTGTCCTTCCAATACTAAGTTGTGTTAATGTTGCAGTGGTGGGTATGCATATGGTTGTCACTTGCTGGACCTCTATTTGAAGTCCATTCCAAATTAAGCAAGGGAGAATCAATTACATTGTTGCCGGGAGTCACATATCATTCAGACAACAACTGTACTTATTGAAATATCATTGAGTTGTCAGATTTCTAGTGACTCAGAAGCTGAGAGGCTCTTTGTTCAATGAAACAAGAACAATAGTCTGCAGTTTGTTACTGTCCTCTACAGGACTGCCTTGTGGAAGCAGGGTTAGCTTTCGAAAGGAAAGTAGTTTAGCAAACTGGAGTGGTGATCATCTTAATTGATCTGAAATAAGCAATTATAGAAATAGAGTGCTGCTGGTGCAAAAAGTCTATTACATATCAGGCCACTGTGCTT